CAACTATCTCCCAAAGCAGTTTTGTGAATGGAGCTTTGAGCTAAGAGATCGAAAATCGCAACAAAACGAGCTAGAACTCGTGCTTGAGCTAGATGGGGATTTTTTTGGGTAGAAGATGAAGTGTGTGGGTGATGGCATAAGTGGAGGGGAGCTACCAGGGGCCCATGAGATAGGGGGGCGCATCCTCCTCTCTCGTGGCTTGGTGCTTGCCCCTCCTGCAGTGTTTTCGGTGCCTAAAATCCTCAAATACTCCAGAAAAAATCATACTAAATTTCAGGGCATTTGGAGCAGTTTTATTTTCGGACTATTTTTTAATGCACGGATAATTCAAAAAACAGACGGATAATACTATTTTTGCTTTATTTATTCTAAATAACAAAAAGTAAAGAGAGGGTACAGAAGGTTGTGCCTTCTAGTTTCATCCATCTCGTGATCATCAAAATGAATCCACTAACAAGGTTGATCAAGTCTTGCTAACAAACTCATTCCGAATAACACGGAACCGGAGAAATTTCGAATAACACTATGTTACCTCAACGGGGATATGAAAATCCCCAACAATAAGAATATCATACTTTTTCTTGACAGTAGGGAGAGGAAATTCAAAACCTCCAAAAATGATAGTTGTAACTTTTTCAATAGAAGTGATGCTATGAACTTGAGATTGTTTCCTCGGAAAGTGTACCGTATGCTCATTACCATTAACATGAAAAGTGACATTGCCTTTGTTGCAATCAATAACAGCCCCTGCAGTATTAAGAAAAGGTCTACCAAGGATAATAGACATACTATCGTCCTCAGGAATATCAAGAATAACAAAGTCCGTTAAGATAGTGACATTTGCAACCACAATAGGCACATCCTCACAAATACCGACAGGTATAGTAGTTGATTTATCAGCCATTTGCAAAGATATTTCAGTAGGTGTCAACTTATTCAATTCAAGTCTACAATATAAAGAGAGAGGCATAACACTAACTCCGGCTCCAAGATCACATAAAGCAGTTCTAACATAGTTTCTTTTAATAGAGCATGGTATAGTTGGAACACCCGGATCTCCAAGTTTCTTTGGTATTCCACCCTTAAAAGTGTAATTAGCAAGCATGGTGGAAATCTCAGCTTCCGGTATCTTTCTTTTATTTGTAATGATATCCTTCATATACTTAGCATAAGGATTTACTTTGAGCATATCAGTTAAGTGCATACGTAAGAAAATAGGTCTAATAATTTCAGCAAAGCGCTCAAAATCCTCATCATCCTTTGACTTGGATGGTTTAGGAGGAAAGGGCATGGGTTTATGAACCCATGGTTCTCTTTCTTTACCGTGCTTCCTAGCAACAAAATCTCTCTTATCATAATGTTGATTCTTTGATTGTGGGTTATCAAGATCAACGGCAGGTTCAATCTCTACATCATTGTTATTGCTAGGTTGAGCATCAACATGAACATTATCATTAACATTATCGCTAGGTTCATGTTCATCACCTGATTGAGTTTCAACATCAGAAATAGAAATATCATTGGAATTCTCAGGTGTGTCTACAGTAGGTTCACTAGAAGCATGCAAAGTTCTATCGTTTTTCTTTTTCTTCTTTTTAGAAGAACTAGGTGCCTCTAAATTATTTCCCTGAGAATCTTGCTCGATTCTCTTAGGGTGGCCTTCAGGATACAAATGTTCCTGAGTCATTCTACCTGTTCTAGTAGCCACTCTAATAGCAAAGTCATTTTTATTATTTAATTCATCAAGCAAATCATTTTGAGCTTTAAGTACTTGCTCATCTTGAGTAGCAACCATAGAAGCATATTTACTAATGCGGTGAAGTTCATCTTTAACTCTAGCCAGATTATCACCTAAGCGTCCTATCTCGAAAGCATTATTCTTTAACTATCTACCAACATAAGCATTAAAACTTTCTTGTCTAGCCATAAAGTCATCAAATTCATCTAAGCATGGGCTATGAAATTTAGTAGAGGGTATTTCAACTTTATCATATCTATAGAGAGAATTTACCTTTACTACCTGTGTCCGGTTATCAAGACAATATGGTTCTTCAGGCGGTATATTAAGACCATGTATTTCTTCAATAGGAGGTAAATTCTTAACATCTTCAGCTTTAATACCTTTTTCTTTCATTGATTTCTTTGCTTCTTGCATATCTTCAGGACTGAGAAATAAAACACCTCTCTTCTTCGGAGTGGGTTTAGGAATAGGCTCGGAGATGGCTCAATTGGTTCAGGAATTACTTCAGGAATTGGCTCAGGAAGAGTCCAATTATTTTCATTAGTCAACATATTATTCAATAGTATTTCAGCTTCGTCGACTATTCTTTCCCTGAAAACACAACCAACACAACTATCCAAGTAGTCCTTGGAAGCATCGGTTAGTCCATTATAAAAGATATCAAGTATTTCATTTTTCTTAAGAGGATGATCAGGCAAAGCATTAAGTAACCGGAGAAGCCTCCACCAAGCTTGTGGGATACTCTCTTCTTTGATTTGCACAAAATTATATATTTCCTGCAAGGCAGCTTGTTTCTTATGAGCAGGGAAATATTTAGCAGAGAAGTAATAAATCATATCCTGGGGACTACGCACACAACCAGGAGCAAGAGAATTATACCAAGTCTTAGCATCACCCTTTAATGAGAACGGAAATATCTTAAGGATATATAAATAGCGAGACTTCTCATCATTAGTAAACAGGGTGGCTATATCACTCAACTTGGTAAGATGTGCCACAACAGTTTCAGATTCAAGGCCATAAAAAGGATCAGATTCAACTAAAGTAATAATATCAGGATCAACAGAGAATTCATAATCCTTATCAGTAACATAGATAGGTGAAGTAGCAAAAGCAGGATCGGGTTTCATTCTAGCATTAAGAGACTGCTGCTTCCATTTAGCTAATAATTTCTTAAGATCATTTCTATCATTGCAAGCAAGAATTTCCATAGCAGCTACTTCATTCATAACATAACCCTTAGGAACAATAGGTAATACATAATCATTAGGGGAACCTTCATCATCACTATCATCAATAATAGGTTCTTCAATATTTTCATTCCCCCTAACTCTAGCAATTTGTTCATCTGGAAATTCACCTAATGGCACAGTAGTATCACGCAAAGAAGTAGTTTCATCATGCATAGAAGAAGTAGCATCATCAATACCATGCGACATATCAGAATTCATAGCAGTAGTAGGTTTAGGTGTCACAAGCCTACTAACAACGGAAGGAGAATCTAGTGCAAGGCTAGATGGCAGTTCCTTACCTCCCCTCGTAGTTGAGGGCAAAATAGTAGTTCGATCGCCTTTCAAGTTCTTCATAGTGATCAATAGATATAAATCCCAAGTGACTCAGAGAATAGAGCTATGCTCCCCGGCAACGGCGCCAGAAATTAGTCTTGATAACCCACAAGTATAGGGGATCGCAACATCTTCCGAGGGTAGAGTATTCAACCCAAATTTATTGATTCGACACAAGGGGAGCCAAAGAATATTCTTGAGTATTAGCAGTTGAGTTGTCAATTCAACCACACCTGGATAACTTAGTATATGCAGCAAAGTGTTTAGTAGCAAAAGTGGTATGATAATAAAGGTAACGGTAGCAAAAGTAAAGATAAATGTTTTGGGGTTTTTGTAGTAGATGTAACAGTAGCAACGGAAAAGTAAATAAGCGAAGAACAATATGTGAAAAGCTCGTAGGAAATCGATCAGTGATGGATAATTATGCCGGATGTGATTCCTCATGTAATAGCTATAACATATGGTGATATAGAACTAGCTCCAATTCATCAATGTAATGTAGGCATGTATTCCGTAAATAGTCATACGTGCTTATGGAAAAGAACTTGTATGACATCTTTTGTCCTACCCTCCCGTGTTCAGCGGGGTCCTAGCGAAAACTAAGGGATATTAAGGCCTCCTTTTAATAGAGAACCGGAACAAAGCATTAGCACATAGTGAATACTGCAATAGGAAGAGCAAAGAAACACTAGTACGTATTTCTTAGTCACTAGCATGCTAGGACTGAAAGTTCTGGTACACTTGAAAACACGGTACATTCATTCTACAAAATATAAACAGGAATGGGAAGCTTCAGTTCGCATTCCCTAAAACAGTGACACACTAAGAATAACAGTAATAATACAACTGAAATCTCAGTACAACTAAGTCTATACGGCAAGTGCTATGATTATACCAAACATTGCCTAGAGAAGAACCACAGCCTAGAAAAAAAGAAGGCCAAACTAAATCAAAAAGATATAAGTTCGACAAAGGAGAAAAATCACAAGAAACACAACAGAAGACGTACTAGCCTCAAACAACACAAAAAATAAATAATTAATCAAAGTACTAGCACAATTGAAATCTCAGTACAACTTATTTTATTCGGTAAGTGCTATGATGATACCAATTAATGCCTTGAGAAAGAAGTAGTTTTGAACTTAATAGGGCTATCTCTTAAACGTAGCTAATTTAAACCAGTGCTTTAACTTTTACTAGGAAGTTCAACTACTAAAGTTCAAGAAGTTCAAACAAAAATTTGGCACCAAATTTTAAAAGCCTTATGCTGAATGAGACTACAAATCAGTACTCACAGAACTATATCATAGGTACAAGAAAACGAGAGTACATAATCTATAAAGGTCCAACTTAGGTTGGAATCAGATAAAAATAAAATAAATCTTACTTTCTCAGCAACATAAAAAAGGTGTTGTTAGTTCAACTAGTATATAAGTCTTCAGTACAAAAAAATAAAACTTAACCAAAACGAATTCCCGATGAAACATACACAAGTGAAACAACTATTCAACCACACAATCAGCATGGAAAAAAGGTTGCTTAAACATTGTGCCACACTTGAACACAACACAAAATATACTAGTTATTACATAGTACTCGACAAAACATGAAACACTACAAATAGAGCCTACAATGTTTTCAAGAGATATATCACACAAGTATCCCATTCACTATGCAAATGATGACCATTTCTCCTATGCATCAGGAGCCAAAGCCTGAACCTCCTTGGGAAGCTCCGTAACCACAAGCTGGCTATTCCGGTTGAACACAACTCTATACAGATCCTCAGCGTTCCAGTCAACAATGTGTGGCTGCAAAACAGTAAAACAAATTATCAAAAATCATGACACATAAAAAAGGATACACAATAAGCCAAAAACAGAAAGTGAAAAGCTCAACAAGAACCCACATCATTATCTAAAATGTTCTCAACGATCTTTTCACCATCATAGGATCCCGCAGAATTCAGAGTATAATGGCCACATTCATTTGGCCCTTGAAGTGGAACCTTGACTAACGTTGATTTCTTTGCAAGCAGGTCCCAATTGGGGTGCTTGCTCGCATTGTACTGAGCATCACCATACACAACCTTCATTACTTGGACCAATCTAGAAATCTGTAAAAAAACAAAAGAAACCACACAGTTTTAGGTCTCAGAAAAAACAGAAACAAAGATGCAGAAAAATTAATCCAGTACAGATAATAAATGTCACTCACAATCTTCTCGCAGTCTTTATGATAGGTGTTCTTTGAAGGACGGCGGTTCTTTGGATAAGGTAAAGAGTCAAGGATGTCAACGCTACTTCGGTACCGATTCATGACATATAACAAATAGTGGTTCAATTTCTTATCCTTTGCTAAAAACATAGGCTTGAATAGAGGAATCATGATCTAAAAACAAATGACCAAAAAAGAGATGTTCAATATTCAAAATAAAAACTAGCATCAAAACAAACAAATAAAAACCAAAAATCAGCTAGTAGATCTCACTAGGTCGGCACTAAGCAAGTCTTCCTTATCTTTAACATAGCTCTTGAAATCTCTCGTTGCACTCTCCACATTAAACACTTTATTTTCATCACCGTAAAATGAACAGTCAAGCACAACCTGCAAAAAAGCCAAAATAGAAATAGACAGCAGAAAAGGATCAACAAGCAAAGTATTATTAAAACTCATAAAAACAATAGGAAGTCTTGTTCAATAGAAAGAAACCGATCTGATTGATTACCGTGATGAAATATGGACTCAGCTATATCCTTTTCCCAGATGCGAAATCAGCATTTCTCTTAGGATCTTGCTTCCAATCATAAATGAGGAAATCCATTACATCACCCTCCATCATTTGCCCAGGTGAAAAAACTTCCCAGATGCGATTCCCAGTGAAGCTAGTTACGCTTTCATCGGGCTGAGGTATCATTGAGAATGTATTCCTACAGCACACACAAGAACAAAAAGAAGGAGAAGCAAAGATAAGGCATTCATAGCAGTTCAAGTTGTATAAAAAGGAACAGTTCAGGTCATATTTATCTAGCAGTTACAAACAACAGAAGAAAAAGAAGAGGAAAAATAATGAGAGATACTCACTCGGCATACTTCTCACTCCATTCATCACTAAGCAACAGATTATACAACATGCGAGCCTTGTCCAGGTGAGGGAATTTATGAGGGTGAAGCTGCTGCACAGGGGAGCAAACCTTTATAGGAGCTCTGGGCGCACGCTTCGTGCTTACAACATTGCCAGAATCCAAAGGAGGATCTTTCCTAGCACCACCAGCTCTACGAGCCACTATTCCAGCAAGGGGAGATAAACATTTGGCTGCAACGCTCCTCGTGACTCTTCCAACGCCAGCAATCTTGTCAAACACATCATCATCGCTGTCTATCAATTCCACAATGGGGTTCTTGGGTGTAGTAGGGCTCTCTGCACAAGCAGGCGTATTACCTCTCAGAGCTCCCAACCGCCCCTTCATAACACCAGATCTTGTCTTTTCAGGAGAACGCCCGTGGCTAAGATCAATAGCTACGCGCTCGAGCTCCGAGAACTGGCTGCCAAAGAACCTATAGTCATTCTCACCAAGATCCAGCCACTCACCCGAAAAAACAAAAACAAAAAAAGAAGAAGACCGCACAAAGGGTAAGTTCAAATACATATTTCACGATACTAATAGAGAAGTACAAGCTGCAAAAAAATTACAAAAGTCCATGCACACGTACAGGGTTCGATGCCAAACAAACCCCGGAAGTCAACATCAAACACATTGCTAGTTGCGCAGGTATACAGCAAAGTCTTCCTAATGTCAAGAATGTCTTCATGGCTGTAATCGACCATTTCAATTACACCATCCTCCCGGCAATGATAGGTCTTGCAGTTTTGTAGCATAAAGAATCTACAATCATGCCTGTAAACAAAGGAAAAAACAAAAAATGGTACAACACAAATCCGAAAATACAGGAACAACATCCTCCCAGCAACAAAAACAACGAGCAAAAATCATTAAAAACGGATACTCACGTGTTTTCCTGCTGCGGCACCCGCACAAACTCGCAAGAGAAACCATCAATATGCACCGGCGAAAACGGTTTGGCCCTGTCTACACTCGACTCCATCCAAAGCTTCTTTATATTATTTGTCATAGTCGTTAAGAATCTAACTGCATCACCCTAGGTTTCATTACGGAGTGAATCAAGACAGTCGAAACGATGGAAGCTCAAATTCAGAACAATCAATCACCAATGCCCAGATTCTTCGCTAGGCTTCATGGTAGCCACAAATGACGGCAGATCAAATGTAGGGAAAAGAAGCTGGAAAAAATCGCAGATGAAAAATGAATTTACCAAATCATAATGAAACAAAAAATTCAGCCTCCAAACAATAAAATAAAAGAGGGTAATTGAAATTCAGAAGTACAAACAAAAAATCAGATAATCATAAGAGTTTATATCCACCGCCCAAAATTGAGGAACAATCATATCAGTTCAATTTCCTTGCAACAATAAGTGCAGCTTTAATAAAAGAAGCACGCATCATTCATAAGTACAGTTGTAAAAGCAGGCTAATCAAGTTCATTCCCCCACCTCCCAAAACTGCAAAGAAAACATGACAGTTCTAGTTAATGAGTACAAAAAGTCCAAGTTCACCTCTTGGTTAAAACCATCAGGACCTGATCTCGTGAACCAATTTAGCACAATGGAATCAATATTTCCATCACGGATCTTGGTCTGTTGTACAAAAAGAACAACAATAGTTAGAAAATTGGCAAAATAAGTTATCATCCTATTTACAAAAAAGCAAAATACTGATCGTCACCCATCTAGGAACTATCAACTTGTCAGTGTCTCGGTACTTCTGACGTAGAGAATATAAAACAACGTCAGCACTGTCTGAGTTGAGCATGCCAGTGGGGACAAATGCTTTAGCAATAGAACCAACACTGGCATCACATTCTTTATTTTGAAACATCAGCTTGTGACTAGAAAAAAACAAAAGATTACATGAAATAAAACTACCGCAACAACAACAATAATCATACGAGAGAAAGAAAAAGAGACAAAAATGGTATGGGCAAAATCCCAAACTAACCATTTCATACGGTTCGTGCGCAACCTCGTAACAGCGAAGAAAAACGTATCAACCTTAACAACATTACCACTTTCTGCTTGCAGAAAATGAAGAAAAATAATAAGTTCAACAACTACAAGAAAACATGTCCAAAATGCCAAAATTGAGAAGTACGCCTCATTTACAAATCCTTACCTGGACTATCAAGGTTTGACGACGACGGTAGTTCCTGTGATGAGACCATTATGCCTCCAGCTTTAGGGTTTGACGATGGGACATCTTGAGAGGACACCAATATTGTTGCGCTTTCAAGGTCTGTAGAAAGAAAATCCTGGGACGACAAGAGCGCCTCCTGCGTCGAGGGGTCAAAAGAAATTGACAGAAGTAAATCATCATCCTCAGATGGCACCTCCTCCATGCTAGAAGCATCTTGCAATGCATCACCATAATCAAGACCTCCAGGCGGGAAATTCTCCGGCGACAAATCTTCACAATCAGGAACATTTTCATTCCCAGCAATACCAACACCAGGCGATTTGGCATCAAGTATGCTGGCAGCGCTAGCATCCTCATTAGCAACTTTGTTACCAACATTGCGCCCACTACTCAATGGAACACCACGAGCATCATCTCCACCACTAAGGACAACCTCACGCTCAACATCAGTAATCTGACGAAAATAAAAATTCAGAAAAAGTGAATAATATGACCAAAACTAACAATAAAAAATAAGCTACCAAGAGGTGCACAGAAAAACAAACCTTGGAAGCATTCATAGCAACATCATCGATCTTGCTGCTGCTAACATTCAAAGCAACATCACCAACGGGCAAACAAGGCTCATCGCCAACAATAGGACCCTGATTCAAATGTAATGAGGCAAAAAACAATGCTACTATGAGCAACAATAAACACAAGGAATTAGAACAACAGTAACAAAAAAGGTAGCTACCCCCTTGCAAACTCTAAACGGTGTGGGATAGAAAAATGAACAAGCAAGACACATTGGTGCGCATGAAAATTCAAGAAAATATGAATAAACACAATAAAAATAAAAATAACCTTGCACTTATCAATGGATGGATCATTAACTCCACGGTCAACAGCAGCCTCAACATTATGACTAGCCTCCTGCATGAAAAGAAAAATTAATAAACAGATGTAGATCAGGAAGTTCAACTACAATACTGATAGCAGAATAACATAGTAAAAACATATAAACAATTAGGACTGACTCACATCAACAATAGGGTGCTGCAAGCCAACATCATTCGTATGCGGATCAGAAACATTAGCCTCAGTACCATCATCAGCCCTGCTATCAGTGCCAGTAGCCTCATCCTGATCAATCTGCATGAAAGAAAATTATTAATAAATAGATGAAGATTAGGAAGTTCAACTACAACACTGACAGCAGAACAACAAAGTAAAAATTGCAAACATCAAGGACTGACTCACATCAACATCAGGACGCTCCAAGCCAAGATCATTCGTTTCGTGATCAGAAACATTAGCCTTAGTACCATCACCAGCCCTACTGTCGGTGGCAGCAGCCTCATCCCGCTCAAACTGCTTGATAACAACACTTGCACTTTCTTCATATGGCTTGCAGCGAGAGTTTTGCGTAGTTCTAAAACGCTTCATGTTGTTCAATAGACGAACCGAGCTCTGAACTAGATTAGCGGCACCATCACGCATATCACCGATTAAAATTCTCTCCATCTCAATGTAGTCAACAGCTTCCTCAGCATTAAATTGATGACCATCAGGAAGGATACCATTGATACAGCTCAGACGCTCAACTGTTGGTGGGACCTTTTGTAGCTCAGAACACACATTACTTAAGATATGCTCAGCGCGCTCCAACACTGAAAAAGCAACATCAATACCAAAACCCTGCCTCTGTGAAGCACTAGTATTACTAGGGCCAGGGGGACATAACCAGCACCCTCAACACCACGGCCATCCCTCAACTCATCGGGCAGAGATGAAAACTTCGGAACCTGAGACGATGGCATCTCCAGGACTGGCCGTTTATACACTCGGAAAAAAACAACCTCCTCATGAGTTTTCCACTACAAACAAGGGGGAAAATAGTTAATCAATCAATGCAACACATAGGGAAAAATAAATCATGATATTAACAGATTTAAAATTAACACCACTAATAAACTTTAACTGTCATTGCCAATTTGTTAGTATTTACCAACAGGCCAGTTGAACAAAGTTATTCAGTTCAACCACACATGAAATAACAGTACTAAAAAACCATACCTAAACCATAAAAAATATAAACAGATAACTCTGCAGTACACATGTCCACTACAGCAAAAAATAGCTATATCTAGAATAAAAAAAGGTCTGCAAGACACAAAACAAATAAAACTCACCGGAAGTTTCCCAAACACCCAAGTTTTTGGATCTGCATTGCCTTTTTTATCAAATCTGCATCAACCAGATCAGAAAGCTTGGCAGGATCCACGAAACATATGCGGGGGACTCGCATGTCAGGCTCCGCAGTCTTGCCACGGATAAGGCAATCAAGGTACATTAGTACAGGCCCTATGGCACAGCCTGTGATTCCCTTCCCCATGGTATCACCATCTTGGTACTTGGCAACAACCCTTCTAAGCTCATCAACCATCAGCTGGCAATAATCCATATTAGCCATGTCCTCAAAGACGAGACCCTCAAACATTGTTGCCTCTCTGGAAACACGCGGGGCAGAACCAGGCAACACAACCTTCATAAACACAATAATGAAGAACACTTTCAGAGCAAGGTCATCTTTGCTAGGATCCTTGACGAGCACCTTGAGCTTATTCCTCAAATCCTTTGTCTTGATATCTTTGTTCTTGCTAATGTCAAGCTCCGATCTTAACTTCATCAAAGTGTTGTCATATCCGTCCTCTGGCGGCCTTGGCGCAGTGTCAGGGGTTGGGTGCGACATATGCCAAAGGATGGCTTATCATGGTGGGGGCGAGTAGAACGTCGCCGGTGCCTGGAAACGGGATGAGGCGAAGACATGCACGCCGGCGAATCTTACCCAGCTTCAGGGCTCTCCGAGGAGATAACACCCCTACTGCTGCTCTGCGGGGTCTCCGCATGATCACTAAGGCAAAGTGAATACAAGCTTGCTCCTAGAGCTGTTTCTGGCGGTAGGAGAGGGCACGGCTAGCTCTCTCCTTCCTATGTGATCTGTCTAATGCTACTGGATGCGAACCCTTTGCATGGGTGCCCAGGGGGGTTTATATAGGCCTACCCCCCAGGGTTACAATGGTAAAACCGGCTGAGTGCGGGTCCCAGCCGTCTGTCTCTCAGGCGCTGTCTTCTCCGCCGACTCCTGGGGCCCGCCGACTGGTGGGTCCTGCCGACTGGCCTGGTACGAGGGCATCAGCCCGTGTCCGCCGCTGGCAGGTCTTGATGGCTGCTGGTTACTGTAGCCGTGCTTTTAATGACGCAGGCTTGGTCATGGGGTCATGGCAACAGTGCCGCTGCCTGACGGGCGATCACTGTTGCCATTCCCCTGTCGCGTCTGGTTAATGGCATGTGGGGCCCGTGGGTGGGGCCGGCCGACTCTAGGGGGCCGACTCCCAATGGGTCCGACTCTTGGCTCTCTCGCTGTCTTCAATACTCTCGCTGACTGGTAGGCCCTGCCATCTCTAGGCCGTACAGGCAGGAGGTCGTGGGCACAGGGCCCCTCCCCAAAGGGATGATGTCAGGGATGGCATGGCAACAGTGCCGCGCCGGGCGGAGATCTCCGCAGGTACGACGCACTGTGGCCATGCCCACCTTTAATTATCGGGGTGGTTGGAAGTCGCGGGCCGACTCTCCATAGTCGGCTTTCTTGGAGTCGCCTCTGGGACTCGGCTTGAATGAGAGTCGCGTCTGGGACTCAGCCATCTTGGTGTCGCCTCGGGGACTCGGCTTGAATGAGAGTCGCGTCTGGGACTCGGCCATCTTGGAGTCGCCTCTGGGACTCAGCCATCTTGGAGTCGCCTCGGGGACTCGGCTCGTCGTGGAGTCGCCGTAGGTACTTGAGGGGCGCAGTCTGCCCCGATGTCTTGAAAGGTTCTGGGACTCGGGTTAGCCTACCCGTGCCCATTACTCCGACAGTAGTCCCCGAAGCTGGTGAGGCTCCGAGGGTGATACGTCGTGCGCCTCAACAGTTTCATTCTTCCGGAGAGGGGATGCAGGCCTTGATGGCCGTCTTCCTTCGGGCCGACTGGTTCGTGTCGGATTCCATCGAGGGCCATCTTGCCTCTCGAGGAGTTTCGAACATCGCAGCGGGAACCAGACGGCGTGTCTGATACGCTTCCCGCGGTCGCCCACCGCGGCCCCGTCACGTGGAGCCATGTGGCAGGGGCAGTCTGCTTGCCCACGCGCGCGACGGGACAGGTCGTCAGGCGGGGCCCGCCACTACCACGCCTCGGCACACGAACGGATCCACTATGGCCGTGCGGGCGGTTGGGTTCCCCACGTCGTTACTGCATGCAGTAACTTCATGGGTTTAATCGTGGGGGGCGTGGGGTCTCGCGCGCAGTTAATCCCCATGCCGCCCCATCGGCTTCTCAGCCTTTGGGCTTATAAATAGGCGGGGGGAGCGGGATGGCGAGGCGCGTGCTCGTTCTTCCCTGCTTCCCCCGCTTCCTCCTGCCTCTTCTTTTTCCTGCCTTCGCCACATCACACCGCACCGCACCGCAGCGATGAGCTCTTCCTCCACCGCGGCTTCTGCCGTCCGCTTCTGTGCGTGAGATGGTTCTAGGGTGGACGATGACGCCATCGAGCACCTCCGCAGGACGCGCCGGCTCCCCAGCATGCACTTGGTGCGAGCCCGCGCCACGCCGGAGGGGGAGATAAGGCCGGCGCCGGAGGAGGGCGAGCGGGTCGTATTCTGCTCGCACCTCATGCACGGCATGGGCCTGCCGGCGAGCGGCTTCCTCCGCTCTTTCTTGGAGTTCAACGGACTCCAGCCGCACCACCTCACCCCGAACACGGTGGTGCTGCTGGCCGCCTTCGCCACCCTGTGCGAGGGTTTCCTCGGTGTTCTCCCCACCCTCGAGCTGTGGGGAGAGTTCTTCCAATCGAAGCTCGGCACGCACGTCGCCGGCATACCGGCCCAGTGCGGCGCCTTCACCGCCATGCGCAGGTCGACCGCCGACAACCCATTCACCTCCATCGCGCTGATCAAGTCAGTGAAGATGTGGCAGCGTTCGTACTTGTATGTGAAGAACGTTGCCACAGAAGGCGACTGGGTCAACCTGCCGCACTATGAAGCCGGCGCACCGGCTGGGAGACTTCCCAGCTGGTCCAATCGGGCCAAGACGCTGACTCCTGCCGGTGCCGCCGCCGTCGCACGACTCCGAGTGCTGACGCAATCGGAAGGCCTGGTGGGGGCCAACTTACTGACTGCCTTCGTGGCGCGCCGAGTCCTCCCACTCCAAGGCCGACCTCATCTGATCTGTCAGATGAGCGACCGCCGAGACCCGAGCCGGATGAGCACCTGGGAGTTGCCCCACGCGGAGGTGGCGAACATGGTGAATCACATCGCGAACTGCGAGCTCATGGACGACTGGCAGTTCGGCAAGGAGCTGTACTCACGTGCCAATCCTCCGCCTGTGGTAAGTCAACTCTTTTGTCTTCTGTTTTTTTCTTTGTCGCCAAATCCGACTTCTGATTTCCTTGGTTCTTTGAGTCAGAACCCCCTCATCTAGCCTGCAGCCGGCACCACAGGGCCGCCCCGCGAGTTCGCTCCAGACCGAGCGGAGAGCGACGTCGACGACCCCGACTTGGGGGCGGCGGCGATGGAGGCCGACGCCGAAGGCGGAGGAGGAGGAGCGGAAGGCGGCTTCCGACCCTCGGCGACCTTCACCGACTGGCCACAGGACGAGGCCGACGGCGAAGTTGTCCCACGCCGCCAATCGAAAGCCGGCCATCCAGGCGCGAGTTCCTCCGCCGGCTTGGCCGGTCAAGTCGGCGCGAAGAAGCGCCGGGCCGCGCCGAGTTCGCTCGGCGGTCGGCCGAAAAAGTTCAAGGGGGCGGCCGCCGCAACCAAGTGGGAGGAGGCGATCGCGATGGCCAACCGCTTCCGCAAGGAAGTGAAGAAGCCGCCGCTAGTCTTTGCGTAAGTGCTGACTCTCTTTGTCTTGTTTTCTTTGACGGATCTTTTCCGAGTCTTTTTCATTCTGTTTTTTTGCTTCATGGCCCCTCTTTCTCTTGAGAGGGTCACCGTCCCCTCTGTCATGGGGTCGGCCGAGACGTCCGCCAACACCCGGCGGATTGACCCCGCTGCCGACCTCCGGGAGGCGACGGAGTGCAGCGCGCGGGAAAAGCGCGACGAGGAAGAGGCCGACCGTCTAGAGAAGGCGGAGGCCGAGAAAGCGGCGGCCTCCGCCCAGAAGAAGCTGGAGGAGGCCGAAGCTGCCGCTGCAGCAAAACAACGGGCGGAGGAGACCATGCGCCGCCAGTCGGCGCTACTTGTCGTCCCACTGAACTTCGCGCCACTGCCCTCGGAGTTCACGGGGCAGACTGGAGAAGTCGGCGGGGAGCACTCCATCATGGAGAAGGACGGTGGTGAGGCCTCCGCGTCGGGCACGGCCTCGCCGCCACCGCCGCCTCCGCCGCATGGCAAGCAGCCGGCGGGCCCTCCAGTGCCGCCGGCTGAGGACGAGGCGGTGGCGAGGCTGCTTCTTCAAGTCGCCTCACCAGCGTGCCGCCACCTCGCGAAGGCGGTCTCGGTGCCACGCCCCTTGGAAACCGGCACCGCCAGCTCGGCCATTCCAGATGCTAAGGCATCAAGTGCTGCGCTTACTGGATGGGTGTGAGGAGGCGGCGACGGTCCACTGAACCAGGCGCTCCTGGACGTGCAGGAGAAACTGCGAGCCGAGGGCGAAGCCATCCAAGGCTGTACCAGGGTGCATCTGGCGTCACGAGCGTCTATCCGGGTACGTTTTTCTTTTTTGACTTTGTCTCCTCTGGTTCTTCTCTGTGGCGGCGCGCCAGCGCACCCACTGGGTGT